CTAATACCTTTCCTACACGTAACCGACTCCCAAACCTAATTTTAGTTGCTAAGGCCATCATTGGATTTTTTTGAAAAACTTTTCTTTTTCCAATGTTTTGAGTAAAACATTGGTGGCGACTCCATGAACTCATTTTTAAAACCATTAATTAAGGATTAGTCTAGTCTCTAGGCATTCCCTAATTGATGAGATTTTTCAAAAAGGTAGTCTAAACCATTGGTCGTGAGATCGAAATTTTTCAGGTTACGACAATTTCTACTCAAAAATTGATGATGACCCATAAAACACCATTTTTTACTACGAGGAAGTCAATAAGGTTTTGTGTTAAAGTTGCAAGCTAGGCAAGCCAAACCTGTATGTGTATTCCAACCACATAGAATGCCTAACCTGGGAAAATAACTAATTGTCCATATAAGAGTTGCTTGCATTTTAAAAGTTTCATTTAATGATGAATCAAACATTTCCACACCATTATCCCATAACTCAATTAACTCTTTCACCAAGAGTTGTAAGTAAACATCTATATTATTTTTAGGCATTTGTTTGCTTGGAACAATTATTGATAAGATGAAAGAAGTGTGTTTCATACACATCCAAGGAGAAAGACTATATGGAATCAAGAACACTGGCCAAATGCTATATGCAGAACTCATGGTTACAAAAGGATTGAAACCATCACTAGCAAGGCCTAAGCGAACATTTCGAGGATCTAAAGCAAACTCAGGGTGTGTCAAATCAAATGTCTTCCATGCCTCGTCATCCCTTGGATGTCTTAGCAATCCATCTTTGTTGTCCTCCAAAACATGTCATCTCATATGCTCAAATATCTTACAACACAAACAATCTTTGCAACCTTGGTTTCAATGGAAAGTGACGCAAAACCTTTATAGCTTGTTTTATTTTCTTCTTTGGGTTCTATCTCGATGTACCACAATGCTTGCATGTTTGCAAGTCTTTATCATCATCTTCCAAATATAACTCAATCATTTGGACATGCATTTATCTTGGTGTAGTTAAGACCAAGTTTGGTCATGATTTTCTTGGCCTCATAAAATGAAGGAGGTAATTTTGCTTCATGAAATGCATATCTCAACAAATCTAGTATCATAGTCATTGCCTTGTCACTTGATCCACACAAAACTTTGATGTGATACAATTTTATTATAAATTCTAACTTTGTGTACTTGCTCCCTTCATACAATGTCTAGTTTGCATCATTGAGAAACTCACTAAAGCTATTATGATCTTGTATATGATGTTCATGTAATCGTTTATTTGCACTTGATGCTTGTCATGTCATTGCATTAACGGTTTCTTCCTCGTAGTGCCCAAATGCATCATTAACCATGGTTTCCATTGGATTTGCAAAGTGCAATGACTCTTGTGGACCATCTTCATCTGTAAAAGGCTCTAATATTTTTTTCTCACCATGAAGATTCCATAACAATTTTTAGAAAATGGTCTACAAAGCAAATGATCTTGTACCGCATGTCTAGTTTGCCATTTTATAAACCCACACTTTGGACATGGACACTGTATATTTTCCCTAACAACTTCGTTCTCAAATGCAAAGTCTAAGAATTTACTAAAACCAATTGAGTATTCAATTGTATTTCATGGTTTAAAAATCCAAGATTTATCCATTAGTCAATATGAATTTGATACACAATATGAAATAAATAAGAAAAATCATGGTCAAATAACAAGATTTTTACACAAACATGCTATTATGAAAAATGAAGAAGTTAAATTATGTATACATTGTCAAATAATCATTCTAAATCCATAACATTAAATTCACGAAGTATATTCCTAACTTTTTAGTTTATCTAAAATTAAATTCTCTCAAATCATAACAAATATATATTAATAAATAGGCTAAATTTGATACGAGACTAGTTAAAACACATGAAATAAAATAAATAAGCATGATAAAGCATTGAAGGAAGAAGAATATCACAAACTTAAAAGAAAAAATCAAACCAAGATTAAAGTAAAAGAAGAGATGAGATTTGACTTACTTAAAAGTAATTTAAGAATCTTTACACTTTTACGTGGTTGTGTAACCTTGAAATCCAATTCTTGGAATTATCTTAAATTCCTATTCGACAATCCAAATAAAATATTAGAATATTTTAAATAAAATATTATTATAAGAAAAGTAGTTAATTAAAGCGAAAAGGAAATATTTCGTTAACTCATAACTTAATAAAATAGATTGTATCAGTACAAAGTGGATTCACTCATAAAAATATCTTTTATTTGCTTTGTAGTCTAGGCCATTTCATTCCATTATAACTTAATAATTTAACTAGAATGCATAAACCTAAATAGTTAAATATCTAAATAAAAATGAACTAAAGTAGTTCAATAGGTTGATATCATAATTTATTATAATATATCATAATCAATAAGGAAATTCATAATTAATATTCCCATTGGATATTGTCTAAATGCAACATGCAAATTATACTTGAAATGCTTTTCTAATTCACTTACAATGTGCCTTTGAAAAAGTGGGGTCCAAATGCTAATTGCCTATACTTTCACATGCAGCAAGCATATTCTCCCTACAAGTGATATCATTTTTGCTTGACTAGGAAATTTTAAAGTAATTAATTGATGATTAAGTTAAAGGAATTAATGTCCTCAGTACCGCGTGTTTGGGTTTAAAAGCTTTACTTTTAAAAAAGCAATTCTAAATAGGATCTTCAGAAAGTGATCTTTAACTTCTTTTTAAGTATTTGATTTGATTTTACTTAAGCATCAAGTGACAGTATTTTTAACCGAAGCCATGTTGAGAATATATATTCCTAACAATGATTAGTTGTTCAATTGATAATATCAATTGGGTGGGATTTAAAAAAGGAAATGTATCTACTTGTGTAGTTTAGAAAAAAAATAAAATGACTAATTTATTGGGTTCCCTTTACATTTTGGGCATAAAAAATGATAAATTATGTTATATTAGTCCTTTTATCTAATTGGGAAGTGAGAACTGTTCAATCCTACGATACTAATGCATGTGTATGTTAAATGGACCTTTAATGCACGGATGTTAACAACATTTTGAGGTGAAACTATAATCCTACTTGCAGTACAGTGCTTAATTTTGTCCAATCTTAATAATATAGATCCCAAATGTGCAAGATACAAATTCAGCCAAACATTTTGCTAAATTACATCACTTGCGAATTTCCTTCTTATGATTAATTGTGTCTGATTAAGAATTGAATTCTCTCGATCAGCGATACGATAAATTCAGCGTAGGAATTGTTTACATCCAAAACAAAAACACTATAATTAAAAGGAAACTAAAAGACAAAATAAATTAAAGGATTAAATGAACCCAATACTACTAGTTCAAGAGCAACTAAAATAGCATATCACAATGGTGAATCAACAAACCTTGTGCAGACGAAAACATGTTCCTTGAACACATATCAAGACATCTGTTTCACGCCATATTTTCAGAGACCTAATTGAGTTGTTAACATAAAATGGGAAAAATGTTATTGAAAAAATAAGAATTAACAGAGTGAAGCATAGGTGACAGCTCCACTTGTAGAGAACCACAAATAATTTCAATTAACAGAGTCACAACATTGAATTATAAGGAAGAGGAAATGGTTCATTTCGTACTTGAAACACCATAAGCGAGGGCGAGAGCAAGGGAGGGTTAAGCAACCAGCCACGATTGTCTTTGGCAATGCGAAAAGGATTAGAGGAGGTGAACCTATGGAGATTGGCCTTAACGTTTTCGTTTGGGGAAGAAAGGGGGAGAAGGTGGGAGGAGCGGTGCACGTGGATGGGGACCCAAGCAAGTAAGAGGAAAACGAAGAGGATGAAAAGGAGGGAGTGAGACCTCTAAAGGGTTAATGCTTCTTCGATGCTACCCTAGATTGCTTCTTCCTAAAACAATGGCGTGATGGTGTGGCAGGAACAACACTGTGGAGGAAGGAAAGAAGAGAGGGTGGAGAGTAAATTGTTACAGTTAAACAATGTCACGAGAAAATTATTAGGTAGTTTTGTGAAGAGATAATAAAATAAAATTGATAATAGAAAATTGCAGGAGGGATAGATGAAAAAAAATCATAAGGAAGGTAAAAGAATGAAGTGGTGAAAATTTTTCAGGAAAAAATGTATTTGAATTTGGGGAGGGCATAAACGTCCTCAAAAAATAATTAAAAAAATTACTATTGTTCTCGTAATTTTAAGATTCCTCAAACACGTTACAAGTCATGTTAATTTGAGGGGGTTTTCAAAACTTCCGTAAAATAACTTCCATTAAATAACATTTTTTTTATAGTGATGCGATTATTGTGAAGTTTCTAGGCAGAACTATTGGTTTCATTACCATGTGGGAAAAGTTAAAGGCCTCATAGAAACCAACAAGTGGTTTTGACCTGGTGGACATTGGCCATGATTTCTATAAGGCCAAGTTTAATCTACTAGTGGATCATGAGGAGATTGTCAATGAAAGCCCCCGGTTAATCTTCAATCACTACTTGGTGATTTGGTAATGGGTTCCAGATTTCATGGCTTTAGAGGTGAAAATTGTTAAAAACCTTTGTTTGGATATGATTTCCTTGCCTAAGTATGGAGTATTATGACGAGAATATGTTGTTGGCCTTAGCAACTATAGTGGGGTCTAAAAGTTGATATAACCATGTTGAATGCCTTTTGAGGGCCTTTTGCTAGGGTATATGTGGAAGTCAATCTACATCAATCGGTGGTAGGAAGGGTTTAGTTCATAAATACATGTTTCAAAGTTGAATATAAAGGACTACATCTCCTTTACACTAGTTGTAGGTACACTAGTGCAAAAAATGCTTTTAAGAACAGAATTTTAAAATCGGTTATAAGGAACCGATTTTATAAAATGCACGGTGATATTTTTATAAATAATGCTACCTTTTTAAAATCGGTTCCCTTATAATCGATTTTAAAGGATATTTTAAAATCGGTTACAATCCGATTTTAAAAATTCAAATCGATTCTCGATAACCGATTTTAAATATCCGCCTCAAGTTTTCCCCCTCGTTTTCTCTCGCAGGTTTATCTTTCGAACGCGCGCAGTTGTTGTCTTCGTTGCACTTGTTCCTCGTCGTTGGCCATTCATCTTCGTTCATCGTGAGTTCCTCATCTCCCATTAGGGTTTAGGTCTCTCTCTCTCTGTCTCTCTGTTTCACGCACACATACACAAATAACGCTAATCATCGTTGTAGTTGTTCTCTTCGTTGTAGCTGTTCATCGTGAGAGCTCGGTTTGGAGTTTAGGTGGAGGAGGGTTTTGAGGGCGGAGAGGGAGGCGCGGACGGCGGAGAAGGTAATTTTTGTTGGCAGACTAACGCTAATCATCTTTTTAACAATATGCAAAACATTTCCCTAATGCAGATAGGTGTTTTATTTTTTCTTTTTTAGGGTTTCCTCTGTTGTGTTCTTCTATGGTAATCTTGTGGCTTTGCTCTGAAGTTGTTAGACACTGTTAGGAGAAATCGAGAAGGCACAGAGCTTCACTGCCTCAAGGTTGGTAATTACTTTTGTATTTTCTCCTTCCACTCAGTTTCGTGAATCAAAAAAGTTTAAGAGATTTGGCAAGTCTTATCTATATGATTAAATGCAAGAACTGAATATTCAAGATGCACAATCTGCAATTCATGGTGACTGATCTAACAACTAAAAACCAGTCCTTAGGTGGATATATAAATCTATCTTGGGCAGAATTCTTGGCATTTTATTTTTACAATAATAATGGTGATAAGCAATCATATGAAAATCTACAGCTTTAGAAGTCTGTATGTCAGGTATCATTGCTTGTAGGTAAACCAAGTCTCCAAGAAGTAATCAGTAAACTTGCTAATTCACTTACATTACAAGCATGAAGGGTATAAATAACTTGAAGATGAGTAACGCTGCCATCAGGAAGGGCTGCATTAGAGAAAAAACATATCAGTTCAAAAGCTTATTAAAGATAACTAATTAAAAGAAGTTTAATTTCCACTTACACTAAAGATGGTAATGAACCGATATACAGATGAAATCTCAAAACTGGCAATACTTGCAAAATTTCCCGTTCCAAAAAAAGCAACATTGAATAAAACCATCTGCATGATACAGTATTTTGTTTACATGTCAAATCAAGCATCAATTATATTCATAATCACTACTTAGTAAGAGCTTATCTGATTTACATTAGTCATTAGGGATATAATAAGAAAAGCTAAGCATAATTCTAGATGCCTTAGTTCACCCTGAATCTTAATTCTGAACAAACACTAATAGGGTATCAGCTAAAAGAAAACTCTTTTTGAGTATACTGCTACATAAGAAATTGTTTCTAGATTGCAAATATTATAGACCCTATAATAGGACTGAGAAATCACCTTTGTAGGGACTTTGCAAGTACCACAGTGCACCCTCAATTTGGCTTGATACAGGTTCTGTACTTCGTATATCTACCCAAGATTGAGGAAGACTATTTTTTTAACAGACTTTGGAAACCACTTGAGTGCATATCCTGTCCTATCTTTATGCACAAGTTTTAAAGGGTATCTTTGGTGGTTAAGATAGGATAAGAATGGACAGCGAATATGAGAACAGAAAGAGTTAGACAGAATGAGTAAAATAAGCTATTATGTTCTTATGTGTTTAGTGCACACCAAATAACCTAGCAAATAGTAATATAAATTGTATCCAAATGACAAAATTACCTTTACAAAAAGTGGTGGTAATTGTGATAGTGGGACAATGGTGGCACCTAGAGCTTGCAATTTGAGTCCAGCCATATGAGCCAGCTCAACCAGCCTAAAATTCAAACCGAGCTGGCCTCTTAAATTAAATTGAGTGCATATCCTAATTCCTTCGTTTGTTTGATTAGGTTGGCTATTTGTAGACATTTGTGTTTCAAAAGTGTTTATAGTTGTATTTGGAAGTGTCTTAGAGGAATAGCTATAATTAGAATATTTAAGAATCATTTTGAGGGTTTGAATTCAGTTTCACTCCTCATTGTAAAGTTACTAGTGGAGTGGTAATTAAGTAGCTACTAGCGAAGGCTATTTTGAGCTATCCTCATTATAATTTGTGTATATCACTTTTTTTGGTCCCTGAAAGTATTTAGCATTGTCACATAGGTCCTTGAACTAAGGAAATTCCAAATATATCCCTAAAACTGTCTGCCGTTTCATCTAAGTACTTAAACCACTTATTGTCAATTTGATTCCTAAACATATGTTAATATTATCACTTAATTTCAGGGATTTTTTTTTTTAATTTCATTTGTTTCAGGGATTAAGGTGATAACACCTAACACTGTTAGGGACAAAATAGGTGATTTACCCTTATAAAGAGACAGAGCAAGTCTTTTATAGTTTTGAAACCTATGCAAAGAAAGGTTCAATCACTAATAACCCTTTGTCTGGCTATAAATGTAAGAAGTGAGAAACTAACATGTTGACTTTTGTTTAATAACCATGTTTTTCCAACTATCTGCCATCTCCACTGAAAAATAAAAAATATTTACATCAACATCACCTTGATAATGTAAGTGATATCACATTTAAAGTTTATAAAACATGTCCTTGCTTAAATCATCTTAATTATTGATTTTTTAAATTATGGTTTCAACACACTGCTTCTAGGATTAAGGTTTCAATGCATTACTTACCTGCACTTGTGCAAGCTTTACTGTTCTGGTTTCCTTTTCCACATGAAAATTCAAATTTATGTATTTATTATGCTAATACTACCAAATATTACATGGTTATGTGTAGCCTCTTTAATTTCTATAATTTATGTAAATTAGTGATTGCCAATATTCAGACCTGAGACAATTCAGTAATTAACTCTTTAATTTCTATAAATTGGAAATTCAATTTTTCAAACTTCACTTATTTATTTGAATATTAGAAGTTTTAATTAAGTTGTAACTAATTACTTGCTAATTGGAAGGAGGGAAAAAATGGAAGAGCAGATGAAACTCCTATTGAGAGAACATGTCATTTTTAGCATATAATGTGCAGCACGAAGGCCAATACTTTCTGAGTGCGAAATTTGACAGTTTCAAGTCTTATATCTCTGTTTTAATGTACTATATTCAAACCTTTTATTCATTGTATTGTAGCCTATCTTTCTTATTCTTTGAATTCTTGGTATGTGGAATCCTCGATGGTTTACATTTCATAGCTATTTTCAATCCTTTGTATGGTTGTGCGCAATTTGTCATTAGTGGACTTGTAATGTACTGCAGTCTCCTTCCAGCCTTTGTGCCTGTAAATCAAACAAATGGAATGGCATAATAATTGATTAATTGATTAAAAAGATAAAAGTATCATAGCACATTAAATCACGTTCAGCACAATTAATTCACTTTAATCACACTTGATTCCTAAAGTTGTGCCCAACATGATAGGAATATTTTAGATTTTCTTTCACATGGCCTTTTTTATGTGGTTATGCTAGTGGACTGTTACTAACCTAATTGCATTATTCTTCAATTTTTTCATTAAATTTGAGAGACATGCTTTTATTATTGAGGTCTATAGTGATTGCGTCTAATACTATAGTAATTATTGAAGGTGCAAGAGGCAGATATTGATAAATCAGTTCAAAAGCGAAGAAAAAGACAGGAACAGGTTCTAGAATCCAAGGAAACAACAAAACTACGAAGCATGTAAGTTTGCTTGCCCAGATTGATCTTAATAGCTTTAAATATGAAGAATTGCTTTCTTTATTTTAATGTGGGTATTGGCACAAATACTAAAATAATTATAAAGCTTTTGATTCATTACTGTCACTGTTAGTATCTATAAAGCATGGGTCTTTATTCTTAAATGTGGGTATTGGCACAAATACTCTAGTATCTTAAAAAATTTAGAATTGTTAAATTAAAACAATACTTAGCTTAATTAGCATTTTATGACTTGTTAATCCCTGCAACAGAGCTATATGTCACGATACATTCTGATAACGTCGAATTTATAAAAAAAAAATGGCATTCGAACTTGTACAAACTACGAAATAAATATTTATTTTATATTATAAATAAATAATTTGATTATATAAATTATATTATAATTAAAATTTATAAAAATAAATATTTATAAATTATGTTCTAACCTCAACTTGGATATTAATGAATCGTAAAGATAACTTTAAATAAAGTATTGTTTATTTTTTATATTTATTAGATTGTCACCACTCTTGAAAAAGCATATCAATAGAATTAAATTAAGAAGATATGTGCTTTGCAAATATTATTATTGAATTCAATTCTTAAGTGATAATGCATGTAAAAAAAATTATTATTGAGGAAAATTAAATTTAAATTTATGATATTTATAGTGTTATAATTAAAATCATCTTAATAAGTAATTATTTCTTTAAAACTGTAGAAATTTATTTTAAAAACAAGGATGAAAAAAATTATGAATATACTCGTTAAAAAAAAATTTATATTTAATCTTGAATTGTCTTGTTGGACAGTTTGGGATGAGTAATTTTCTTTATACTTGTTTGATACGTACAAGTTAAGTCTCATCTTAAATTTGATTAAATTTTGGTTTATTGCATTTTTGTGTTGTTCTTCGAGTGCATATTTGATTGTGGTGTATATAATTTGATGTCACCACTTTCATTTCATGTACTTAGAGACCAATACAAAGTGCTGTCAAAATTTTGTCAAGTTTAAGAAAATGGATTGTACTAGTACATATTGATCAAGTATAAAATAAAATCTTGAATGGGATAGGGTCACACCTTGTATAAAATAGTGAGATTGACATCCATGGTCTATCTTTTTGATAGAGATCATAACTTATGGATCAAAGTTGGTTATTGGATCGAAGTTGGATACGAGCGCCACGCATAAGTGAGCAATATGAGACTGGAGTGAAATATTTTATTGAATATGTAATACGGAATGTTGATGATGATATGAATGGAAAGTTTTTCTGCCCTTGTGTTAATTGTTGTAATGGGAGTCGTTTAGAACTTGATGTTATAAGGGAACATCTTCTATGTGATGGGTTTCTTAAGAATTATACACATTGGATATGGCATGGTGAACCAGTTGGTGGAGCTAAAGGTCTCTCAAGTTATAGCAACTTATGAGCAAAAATTTAGTCAGATGCAAGAGGAGATTCATAAGCGACTACAAAAGGACATGCAAAGGAAACTACAAGAGCATATGCAATCACTGAGCCAACAATTTCAACAAAGTGCTCCACTATTAGAACCATTTATTGCACGTGTGAGTACAAAGGGATCATGTGCATCTATTGATCCCCCTTTTACTGCCACTAGCCCAGGTACATCTAATAAATGTGAGTTGTTTGTGGATGGAAGTATGATCATCACAGTCCATCCACATGGAAACAAAAGGGTAAGCTAGAGTTCAATAATCAGTCATGTAAGCATAAGAATAAACATCTATGTTACACCATCATCAAATCACCAATCATTCTCATAGAGTCACACCATACACTCTATCATACACTACTTATGCAGTAAATACAACCCATGACAGATATCAATCCATATCAATCATCTAATGCGTCATCAGAATCACTTAGTATTGTGTCTTGATCAGCTCCAGCCATCAAACATAAATTGTTCTCTTCAAATTCAGATTCATCACTTGTTGTGCTTGAGTCATTGTCTTCCCAAGCAATGTAGGCTCTTTTTCCTTTGACATTTTTCTTCACTTTCTTTTCCTATTATTGCTTCTTTAAGAGGTTTACACATTCAACTTTTTTGTGTCCTGGTTTTCCACCCTCAAAACAATTGTAAGAGGATGTACTTGTTTCCTCTTTCTTATTAGCCTTCTTGTTGAACTTGTAGGGGGAATTCCTCTTCTTTCTTAGGAATTTTTTTAACTTCTTCACTAGCAAGTTGAAGTTCTCTGTTTCAGAATCTTCGGAGCTTGATTCTTCACACACTTCTTTGCCTTTGACTGATTTCAGGGCTCTTAGTGACACTCCTTTGCCCTTTGATTCTTCTATGGTAGTAACCTTTGCTTGCCATGATCTATCCAAGCATTGCAGCACTTTCAAATTTAATTCTTCTTCTTCTTCAAATTTCCTGCTAAGATCAACAAGGTGATTTATCAAGTGTGTAAACCTCTTTTGAAAATCAGAAATTGATTCACCATTATTCATTCTCAACAATTCATATTCTCTTATAAGAGTGTGCTTTCTAGATCTCTTTACATCACATGTTCCTTCATGAGTGACTTGCAAAGTGTCCCACATTTCTTTAGCAGATTTGCATTGAGAAATTCTAAAAAATTCATCAATAGACAATGCAGATGTAATAATGTTCTTTGCTCTATAGTCATATTGGGCTTTTTTTTCTCTTATCATCACTCCACTCACTCCAATATTTTTCTCTCTTCCCATCATCATCTTTGGTCATAGGGATATAGGGTCTATTTTGAATTGCATCCCACACAGCAATGTCAATTGCTTCAATAAAAATTCTCATCCTAATTTTCCAATAAACATAGTTTTTACCATTGAAAATAGGAGGTCTATGAATAGACACACCCTCACCATAAGGTAGGTTGTTGTTGGCCATTTTTGAAATCTTGAATAACACTCAAGAACCTTGCTCTAGATACCAATTGATAGAAAAGAATGGCTCAATCCAAGAGGGGGGGTGAATTGGATTCTATGACACTTTAAAAATTTTCAGAGTTCTTAGGATCTTTATTTCAATTTAAACTTTTCTAATATGAATTCTCAAAGAAGTTCCTTGAAAGACTTGCTAATGGGAATGAGTCCTATATGCTTTCTTGATTAATCTTTGATAAAGTTCAAAGTTAAGAACAATCAATATGCAACACCTTTATTCAGTTTAAAGCAATGTTGTGCATACAAACATGAGGGAGCAATGGGCCACATTTTTTATTGACCATTACTTTAAATAGTTTGGGCTTATGTTTTATAGTATTGCTTTAACTAGTTAGAACTTACATTTATGTATTAGATGTATTTAAAACTATTTAATTATATATATATATGGTTGACATTTATCATCTCTTCTCATTTGTATGCAATTTGGTACATTGAGACTTAACATAGAAAATACAAATGTTTTGGTTAATTGAAAATATTTGAACTGTCTGGTAATTTATTCATTTGTAGGTTCTATTCTGAGGCACTCCCAAAACAAGTCAGACATTAAAAAAAAATCACTTCTTTTAAGGTCGGTTATGCCACAACCGATTTTAAAAGTCTTGACTTTTAAGATCGGTTGCTGGTCAACCGATTTTAAAAGTCTTGACTTTTAAAATCGGTTAATAACTGATTTTAAATGTCTCGCTTTTTAAATCGTCTCTTTTAAAATCGGTTGTAGAATCGATTTTAAAAGCCTTTTTTCCACTAGTGGTGGTACAATCATATTTCTTATTCTTGTCCTTATATTTCAAAATCGATAACAACAATTGATCATGCCTCAACAATGAGGGTTGAGGGTAATTTCAGGGAGGTTGGCAAATAGAACCTTGGCTTGCCAAATTCATGCATAAATCACGAGGACATTTCCTTGCATGGTGAATAGTTGGTTGTTAAAAAGGAATGAAATAGGATGTGAAATAAGGGGATGAGATACAAATCTGATAAGTCTCTTAATAAGGGAAAACATCCTACATATAACAATTTTATGGTTTTTTCTAATGCAAATAATCATATGGAAAATGGGCCCAAGTCTTTTCCACTTGAGCATGTGGCAGACATGGATCAAGGGGAAAGTAAACTTGGTATTCCATCTTTGAAAAGAGAGAAAAAAAATAAACATTCAAGAAGGGATACCTATGTGGCAATGTTTCAAGATCCTACATGAAGAAACTTTGAAGAAGACTCTTGTCAGCTTGCCTTGGAGTCAAGGCTACACTTACTTAAGAATAATGTTGTTATACAACATGGGCATTCGCCATGAGTGGCTGAACATGTGCACACTCAAATGAACCCTAAATGTTTACCAAATTAAACTTAGATTCATGGAAGCACCAAGATTCACGGAAAAACACATTTGGGCTGAAAATTTGAATTCAAATTCAAATTTGAATTCAAATCTAGGTGCCACTTTGTGAGCTATGCACTTAGCGCCAACTAGCTTCAAATTTGTCCCTATATAAGCTTCCTTCTCTCATTCATGTAATCACTTTGATCATTTTATGAGAATTCTGAAAATTAGTCAGCACTCTCTCCCTTCAAAGTCACCCTTGGCCGAACAAGTTCTTAGAGTTTTCTTCTAGGAATTAGGTCAAACTTGTGAGCAATCCTTTTCTCCCTTGGCATAAGTGCTTCCGGATCCTTATTCAATTCATCTTCTTAAGCTTCATTTCTTCAAATCCATGATTGGATCATCATCCAATCTCCTCAAGGAAGTGATCAATAGGCCGTGCAATTCAAAGAGTTGAGAACTTCAATCTACTTCACTTGGAATTGCCATCATTTTTGGTATCAAGAGCTTAGGTTCTTCACTTGAGGTTATGTGTTAATTTTTCACCGTTTAAATTTTGTGATTGTGTTCTTAATTGTCTCATTGTGTTCTTGCTATTTGGATCTAATTTTTCTACTCAAAATTTGATAGATCCAATTAAGTGATTGTAATTGTGTTCATTCCACAATCACTAGGAGTCTAAGATTCTACTTGTGCGGTTTTCTTTTTGTTTGAATCTTATTCTTCAATTTTTGATTCGGTCATCCTTGAGTATTGCATTTGATTTTAATTTTTGAATCTTATGAATGTATAGAAGTCATGTTTAGTCATTTGAATGTCAAAAATTCAAGCTATGCTTAGTTGAACCTATTTTTGTTTTAATCTAATTCTAGTAAGATTTGCTTTGGCCGAGAGCTTCATATTTTGTGCCTTGCTTATGTGATTTTTTATTTGCAATTTTGAGTTCATATCCATCATTAGTTCATTGGTGGATTCTTAGAGTTAGGTTTCCATTGTATTTACTTGTTTGTATTGCCTTTGCTTCTAAGAAAATCTCCTAAAAATTGTGATCATAATTGCTTGATTTTTGGCTAGTTGAAATAGTTCAATATTGGTGTATGATTTGAAACTTTTGGAATCAGGAAAATTGCTTGTTAAAATAGAGGAAAAACCGAATCATCTTGAAAATAAATTTGAAAGAAAAAGTGAAGTGGAACAAGCAAAAAGTTAGACAAAGAACATGCACCAAAATTCTATTCAAATTTGTACTACTACTAGCTGAAAATTTGGATCAATCCGGACTTGTTTTCTTTTATCTTTAGTGGCTGGAAAATTTTCTAGAAAAAGGCAAGAACTCCTTAAGTGATTCAAGAAAAGAATTGAAAAAGAGAAAAAGTATATAAAAAAATAAAAAAAACAAAGATCAAAGTATAAAAGCCAAAGGAGGAACAAAATACATTGAAATTCTTTTGCGACTTTTAAGTTGAAACCGAATTGCAATTCCTGTTGAATCATCTTTAAAAAAGTTATACTTTTGATTTTGGTTTTGTTAATCCAATCTAGAGCCAATCTAGGACTTTCCATTTGTGTGCCATCGTTAGGAGTGTCTTAATTTTTAGTCTTTTAGTCTTGATTAGAACTCTTTGTGTATGTCCATTTCTTACTCTACTTTGGTTTAACCTTTTTCTAATTGTGCATTTTCTGTTTTATCCCTGGATTCCTAGCTGGAAGTAGCATCAAACTTGTGCAAAGGAAGTAAAGATTAGCTTACAAATCCTAGAGGAAGAACAAGGACTTTAAGGCTACGCGGCTTTAGAAAATCAAACCATACTAAATTCCTTGAATCTCCTAAATAACCTTCACAAGAGTGATTTTTCCTTTCCATTGTGAGGTGGCCTTCAATTTTCTGTAATTGTTTATTTATTTGTGCAGGTCAAGCAAATTCAAAAAGAAATCCAGATTAGAGACGGATTTAGTGACCAATTTTGGTTGCTGGAAAATCTGTCACAAGCAAATCCGTCTCTAAAGCTGTCTCCATTTCCGTCTCTAAATTCTGTTTTAGGCTAGTTTAATTTTTCTTGCATTTTCTTTGTTTCCAATCAAGTTGTAATAGCTTGGAGGGAGTATTAAGAATCTGGTCAGGTATATCTATATCTCTATAGCTTGCTCACGTGTAGATCTAGTGTAAGTGGCTTGAAAATTTCATATGATTTCAAGCTTCTATTAGGGAAAACCGACTAGTTTGTTAATCTTTACTCCTTGGTCTTGTTTTTAATTTCTTGCTTGTTTTAATTGTAGCTTCGACTAGCTTGTGTAGAATTTTAATTGCTCACGTTTAGGTTGAAGTCAAGAAATTAAATATTTGAAAATCATAAATCATCAAAGATTTTT